GAGGGAAGACGCCTCCAATCCATTTATGAAGTCAGTATCACACTAATACCAAACTAGACAAAGATAATACAAAAATAAAACCTACAGATTAACATCTTTCATAAATATAGACACAAAAGTGTTTAACAAAATATTAGCAAATAGAATTCAGCAATATAGAAAAAGAATTAAACATCATGACAAAGTGGATATTTTATTCCACTGAGGGTTTATTCCAGGAATGCAAGGCTTGTTCAATATTTGAAAAATCAATGTACTCCAACATATCAACAGGCTAAATAAGAATTATATGATCAGATCAATTGATAGAGCAAAATTATTTGGCAAAATCCAACACTCATTCAAGATAGAAACTCTCAGAAAACTAGGAAGAGAGGGGAAACTCCCTCAACTTAGTAAAGAACACCTCTAAAAAAACTACAGCTAGCATTAAACTTAAAGGTGAAAGACTGTTTTTCCCTAGAGATCAGGAACAAGACAAGGATGTCCACTCTCAGCACTCTTATTCAACATAGTACCGGAAAGCACCACAGTGCAAAAAAAGCAAGAAAAAGAAATAAAAGGCATATCATCTGAAAAAGAAGACATAAAGCTGTCTCTATTGATAGGTGATATGTTGTTTATGTAGAAAATTCTAAAAACGCAACAAAAACTAGTAAAACTGATGAGTGCATTTGGCAAAGTGTCTGGGACAAGGTCAAAGCACAAAAATCAACTGTATTAATACATAGTAACATCAAACAACTGAAAACGAAATTTAAAAAAAAAACAAAACAAAACCCAATAATGGCATCAAAAACCATAAAAATACGTAGGCGTAAACTTAAAGGATGCTCCAGACCTCTGTCCTGGGAACCACACGATGCTGCAGGGAGAAGTCAAAGACCTAATAAAGAGAGTCACCAGGGTCCTGGACGGAAGGCTCAAAATGAAGTTGTCACTGCTCAAAATGAAGTTGTCAGTGACACAGAAATAAATTTGACACAATCCTAACCAAAACGCCATCAGGCTTTCCGTAAATATTGCCAGGCTGATTCTAAATTTATAAGGGAAGGGAATGAAAAGAACATAGAATAGTTAAACAATCTTAAAAAAGAACAGAGCTGGGAAACTTACACTACCTGAATTTAAGACGTACTACAAACCTACAGTGTGGCATTGGCGTAGGATGAATAAATAGATCAATGGAACAAACAGGTCCAGAAATAGACCTACGCCTATACGGGCAACTGATTTTTGGCAAAGGTGCCAAAGCAGCTCAATAGGGGAAGAAAGTGCTACGGATAACCGGACAGGAACAGCTGGATCTCCTTACAGGAGAAACGAACTTCGGGTCCCGTCTTACGGCACTCACAGCTGTTAACAGAACATGGGGCGCAGACCAAATCAAGTCTGAGTTAGAAGTTTTATAAAACATAAGGGAATATCGTCACCACCAAGGGGAAACAAGGGTTTTTTAGACAGGATACAAAAGTAATAACCGTAAAAAACCCAAATCTATAAATTACACTTCATCAAAATGAAAAATTTCTGCTCGTTAAAACAGTGCTAAGAAAATGAATCAGACAAGGCAGACCATGGGGAGAAACATTTGTGAAATGTCAAAAAGGACTTGGACCACTCAGAAAGAAAGAAAAAAGATATACTAGTAGCCAAATAGGACATGAAAGCGTGTTCATCATCATTAGTCATCCGCGAAATGCAAATTAAAAGCACCGTGGGATACCACTACGCACCCACCATCATGGCTAAAATTAAAAAGACTAACACGAAAGTGTGAGGATGCAGGGCAACAGATTCTCGTACACCACCGCTGGCAACGTGAACTGGCACCGCCACCGGGGAACAGGTGTGGGCGGTTCTTATACACGGAATCGCACACGTACCCTGTGGCCCAATAGTTCCATTCCTAGATATTTACTTGAGAGGTGGATATGTTATTCATAATGGAACTTTGAATGAGTAAATAAGTCATAGTATAAAAGAAATCTCCCAGTAACTGAAAACACCTATCGATATGTACATAACACAAAACTGGTGAATCTCGAGAACATTACGGCAGAGGAACAGCTGAGTGACCCCATTCCCCTGCAGTCCTGTAACAGGTAAGACGCATCAGTGGGAGGCCCTGGGCCGTCGGGGGCGAGAAAGGCTGTCTATCTCGATGTGGGGTTTGTTACATAAGCGTACCCATTTGTCAAAATTACACAATTAAGATGTGTGCCCTTTTAATATAATTAACATTTACTTGAAAACAAACGAAAAGAAATGTAAAAGGAAATCATCAGGCTGGGGGTGAGGGTGGGTGAAGATAAAGAAACGAGAATGGCATCAAAAGCCAACAAAGATTTCAAAACAAAATTATAGACCAAACTCCGGTGGGACTTGTTGAAGCTGGGCGATGGGTAGCTAGGGGTTTGTTACAATATTTTGCTTTGTTAACTTTTCCATTATAAAAAAAAAAGTCTTTTAAAAATGTTAACAGCAAAATCTACCACAGCACTAAGATCCAGACCGAAGACCAAAGGGAAGCATTGAGGGGCCAGGAGACGCCGCTCCGAGTGCCCGTGACACCACCCGGGGCACCGAGGCCGCCCGCTGCCCGCTGCACCCGGCCAGCCCGGGGAAACCACGGCGGGCTTCTCATCCTCAGGAAGCAGAGACAGGCCTCACCCTGCCTTCCTAACCCACCGGCTGTGAGCTCATGGGGGGCGCGGCCCACCTGCCCAGCCGTCATCAGCGTCGGTGTCCAGGTCGTCCAGGCCCTTCAGGTTCTCCGCGTTGATGATGGTGGGCCGCGGCGCCCGCCCCACCAGCTGCCTCAACGGCCGGGCCGGGCGGGTCGCTCCAGGCCGGTTTTCTTTTCTGATGAGAGAGGGAGAGGGCGAGGAGGGGGGCGGAGTTTAAGGCGCCGGACTCATGTCAAGTACACAGATGACAGCAAAACTAAGTATTTTTCTTTAAAAAGTCCTAGATTGCAAAGGTTCGCGTTTGCATTTAAATCATCTCCGTTTACAAGAAACAGAGTGAACAAATGCATCGGGAGAGGCGGCCTCCTCGTTCCTGCACGTGCCCAGTGCCAATGCTGGGGGAGCAGCAAGAAGCACGTGCCCCAACTTCAGCTCTGCCCGGAGCCCGACACCACGACCCAACCTCTCACCCAGGCGGGAGCCTTACTTACCCATCTTGGTCGTTCATCTGGAACTGTCTAAAAGGAACGCGGGGTTCCAGGCGGAGCTGGGGGAGGGGGAAAGGTCCTCGTTCCACTGTGCCCGGGTTCTCCGAGGACTGTGGCGAACACATCTGAAACACAACATCAATGAACAGGCTTTTCCGATCATGACCCAAAGTCGAAGTTCCACTCTGTACGAGAATTTGTTTTGGAAAATGAAAAATGGGGGCAAAAAAACGAACGGGAAAGTCGGGGTTTCCCGAGCAATCCTGCCCCCACCTCCCCATTTCTTTCCTGCCGTCGCTGAGTGAATCTGGGGGCCTGTGTCTCGGGCAACACCTGCCTCTCATTTTTTCTAAAGACAAAGCTGAAGAAGTAATGACATCCACGTCACCAGGGAACGAAGCCAGACACCCTTAAGGCTTGACAAGGGGGAGGGAAAACGCAAAGCTAATGGAAACCTCCAGAGCAGGGCGTCGGGGCCAAGAGTGAGCCTGGGCAGGGGAACCGGGAGTGGACGTGCGACCACACGGCGTAGGGTCTCGGGGACGAGGACAATCGACTTCGCGGGGAAATGCATTCTGAAGACTTACAAAGGCAGGAAGCATGTCATGGTATGTAGGTGGGTGGTATGCATTTCCCATGAACTGTGACGCCCCTTTGCGGACAGGCTGGGCCGGGCGGAGAGAGGGGTCCTGAGAACCGCTGGTGCATGCCGAGGAGGGGGCGCCGTCTCCCGCACTCGAGTTCCTGCTGCCCAGCTCAGTTGGGGAGGCGCTCAGAGACGTGGCAGAAATTATGTTTCGCCCACCGCCCTCCCTCCAGCTTGTCACATCTGGAAATCGAAAGGGGGCAAACAGGGAGAGGAAAGAGGAGGGGGGAGGAGGGACTGTGAGGTCCTGAAGGCCAAGGGACCCCCTCATTCACCAAAACAAATAAAAAGCAAACACAAAAGAAGGGGAGAGGCGAGTGGACCGGTCGAGCCTGTCAGGGAAGGTGGGGCGGACACCTGGCCACTGAGCCTGAGCTCGCTGAGGGGAGTCTGCCTGGAAGAGAAATACGAACTCAGGTCCACTCAGAGAGAAGGCGAGCGTGGACGGGGTGCAGTGTTCACGGGGCAGCAGAACCAGACACCACGGAGCGGACCCCCAAAGGAGCCGACAGCCCTGCCGCGATGGCCCTGGACACACTCCTCCACCACGGCCAGCCCGAGGTCAGCGCTGCGCTCAGCGCGGACTCGACACCACAACTAGTGTGAGCCCTGACACGTTTCCTAACTGTTTAGCAGCAGCACCTCTGGTCAGAGAGATCTCCCCGGTTCCCGGGACAAGGAGGAGCCGCCCTGGCCCAGGCCTGGCCCAGCGGGGTGTGGAGGGCTCTGGGGCCTGCCCTCCAGGCCTTCGCTCCCCTCCTGCAGGGCACAGATGAAAAGCTTCTGGTCTCTTTAGGTGACACTTTCCACTGTCCAAGGTAGCAGGAGCTGGTGGGGTTACAGGCCAAGGAGAAACTACATACATGAGCCAACCCTTTTTTCAGCCAACTTTTGGTTAGAGGTTGAAACGGGGAAGGTCCCCGAGTGTGTGGCTCCTAGCACAGAGGGACCCACTACAGGAGCCACGAAATCACGGTGGCCCCAGCTCTCCAGCTCCGAGCATGTGGTCTTCGGTTAGCCCTGCGGCCGCCCCTCCGGCCAGCTGCTGCTTCGCCTTCTCAAATGAGGGGATGGAACTGATCCCAGAGGCTCCTACTCCTTCTAAATTTTTATAGTTTCACAAAGCAGCTCATCTTAATTAACCCCAGAAAACTGCAGTTCTCGTCTAAGGAACCTGAAGTTATGTGTCTGGAGCAGACGAAGCCCAGCGCGGACCAGCGTTTTAGGGAGAGCTGCACAGTGGTCGTTTCACGTGCAAGACATTGGCTCTGACACTGGGACACCTCGGGGACTGATCACAACAAGCAAACGAGTCTCTCACATTCTGAGACCTGATCGAGCCCACCCCCCACACCTTCCCAAAACAAGAGACAGTTCAGGCTCTCGAGAGAGAAAAACTCATTCCTAAACGCCTTAATCTCTACCCATCCAAGGTTTTAAGGAAAAAAAACAAAACAAAACAAAAAACAGCCAGCGAGTGTCACTCCCCAGTCCTGCCAACTCCCTGGCCAGACCCCGGGGAAGGGGGCCGTGGAGACCAGGGCTGGGGGGGCTACATAACAATCCCCAGCGGAACCTGTTAAAAAGCAGAGATTCGAGGCGGGCTGGGGATGGCGAGTGCTAGTAATCGGACGTTTTAACACACTCCCCAAGTAATCCTGACAGCACTCAGCCAAGTCTGCCAACCGCTGACTTAGAAAACAAGCTCCTGACTCAGGGGCCAAGTTAACTGGCCCTTGGTCCGTGCTGGCCAGGGCTGCACAAGCACAGCAGAACTAACATCTGACGACAGCACAGCTGGGAAGGCCAACGGGCCCTGGCTCGACCCAAACGACAAGAAAGGAGAGGTGGCCGCCAGAGCGGCCTAGGGAATAAGTCCAAACGCAGAGGCCAGGGGGACGGCTGACATGCTCTCCAGGCGGGGGCCGGCCCCACGGGCTCCGGCGCTGTGACGGCTGGCACGCCTCTACGAGGACAGAGGGACGAGGAGGTGCCGCTGTCCCGTGTGGGCCCGGGCGCACTTACTCTGGGGGCGGAGGCTTGGTCCTGGCCCATACGACAGATCTAAGACGCCCTTTTCTCTGCCAGCCTTGTCCTGCCCTCCGGCTGCTTTCAGCGTCGGAAATTCCTCGGGAGAGAAGGATAATAGTCGGCTTGAGCCCCTTAAACCTGCCGAGAAAACCGGAAAGACTTATGGAGCGAGAGAGATGGGCATGGACAGTCCTCTGCGGCGGGGTCCACACGTGGAAGCCACACCGCCCGACGTGGCTGCGCTGTGCCCAGCAGAGCGGCACTGGGGCCCCTGACAGGAGCAGGTTACAAAGGGCCCGGCCGGGGGGAGCTATCACGCCTGCTCCAGCCAGAGCTCCCCAGTTCCTGGAAGGCAGCAAGGTCCTTCTGCTGGCCGAGATGATGGACACGAGCAGTCTTTGTCAGTCCGCCCCGGGACGTCGACCCCTTCCCTGTGGAGGTGATGCCCACAGAGAGTGCCCGCCCAACCTCCCCAAGGCCCGGACCTGGATTTACGCTCTGTCCAGTCCACCCTTCCCACCAAGTCCCTGAAGCCCTACATGGCCGAGCACGTCACTCCGGGATCCCAGGAGCAGTTTCTTGGCTCTTTCATTCACTCCCCAACACTAGAAGCTTCTTTAAAGAAGCCGCTGCTTAACCCTGCTCCTCTCCCTCACAGCACGCAGCGCTGGAACCGACCGCCACCTTCCGGGTGAACAGACGGTAAGAAACGATGCATTTTAGGGTCCAGAGTGGGAACTGGTCCTTTTGTGGTTGAACTTGGCAACATAATCTCACACAGCACAACGCCCGGCTAGGACCTGCCTGGAGCCCTAGACAGTGAAGCCAAATCTCCTCGTCGTGGCAACCTCGGCACCACTGATTCACGGACCGGTAACTAAGGCGGACCCTGCCGGGGGTGGACGCAGCGATCAGTGCAGACGCACGGGTGGCAAGGCCTTCGCCATCCCACTCAGTAAGGAGGTCCAGGCCCAAACAAACCGGCCAGGGTCACAACTGGACACACTATTCACCAACGATGACCCAGGGAGACAATCTCCAAGGACCAGTAGGAGCCCCACCGCTCACAGTCGCTTCATCACGTTGAGAACCGGCAAAAAGGAAACATGAAAGCTACTGCTGGAAAACCGGGATTATCTGGAGTTAAAAAAAAAAAAAAGGCTGCCCAGTGCTTTTCTCTGCCTCCAGGGTCACAAAAGCACTGCCACGTGAATCAAACTCGCCCTCCACAGATACATGACAAAGGGCAGAACTCGCACCTCAAACCAAAGCCGGCCCGTTCGCAGGGCTTCGATGCTCTGTCACGTTCGCCCGCCAACCCCTCGGGCCACCCGTTCTCAGCTGTGCGCCCCTGGCCTCTGCCTGACCCACACGACCAGGCCTCGTGGGTCCTTTCCAGGTGAAACAGAACCGTCGACCACCTCTCACACGGAGAGAGTCCATCAACTCAGAAAGAGCCCTTTTGAAAATGTTTGTGGGCAACACGCCCCAAGTCCCCACAGCTCTGATGGCATCATGGACTTGTGCACCCAGCACAGGAGGGGGACCCACCCCCGCCCTGCCTGTGCCCAGCACGTGTCTGCTCTCTCCTCCTGGGCTACTGGGTTCTGCCACACCAGATGGCCTATCACGTGTTCACAGAGCATGGGCCTGCAGAATTGTTTTCTACATCGTCTTCTTCCTGTTAGGTAATACAATCGTAAGGTTCAAAAGTAAACAGCCACAAACAGGCAGAACCTGAAGCCTTCCTCCCATCCTCGTGCCCTATCTGCCCATTTCTGAGGCCCTCGAAAAGCAGATACTTTCCCGTTACACGTATGTAACACTTTTAGGAGTGTAATCTCTCCACACCCCAATTTTCTGCATGCACGGTTAACATACTCTACAGGCTACTGGGCACCTTTTTCATTTAAGAATATACCCCAGAGATCTTGCCGTATCGGTACAAACTGCTTCTTCTCCTTATAGCCAGACGGTATTTCATTAAAGGACTATAATTTGACAGACATTTCAAGTGACTGTTTCCAATCGTTGGCTATTAATCTTGTAATTGTTATTTCACTCGTGGGCAATATAACTTATAGGACGATTTCCTCGAAGTGGAACTGGCAGGTCAGAAGGGACACGTCGTAATACCGCGACAGGCAGTGCCAAACTGCTCTTCGCAGCGGCCGTACCGATTTACACCATTTTTCGGTTTTTTGGTTTTTTTTTTTAGTCTTTCTGGTTCTTTTTAAATAAAAATTAATACATCTGATTTACTTCAAACTCTAATCTTACAGAAAGACAGACTACAGAAAACCAAAGCATCGCTGTCGGCAGTCTGGTGAACACTCTTTAAGAAGCCCCCTTAAAGACCCGACCTTAGGGTACTGAATGCTCGTCGCAGCCGCTCCGTCCCCGGGACTCAGCTTGCTCAGCCCTCGCCCCGCCGCCTCACCCTCCAGACTGGAGAACCCACAGTGGACGAGGCCGAGCGTTCCTGCCCCCCTGGGGAAGTCGGGAGCGCTCTGGCTGTGCCCACGGCTCCTCTGGGACGCTGACGTGCCATCCCCATCGGAGACTGAGGACGGAGCCTTCGACCACACGGTGTTTCCGACCCACACGGGGTACAGGGGAGGTCGTGGGAAGGCGGACAGGACAGGTAGCTGCTTCTGTAATATAAGCTACAAAAGGACAGTCTGACACAGCCTTGGCTGGCAGACGTTCGCAGAAGGCCAGGGGTGACTCCAGGACCGGGCACAGAGGGCACGAAGGGCAGCGAGTGCTGCTTCACAGCGACACGGGTGACCGTGAGTCACCCACGCACACCACCACCCCGCTTCCCACTCGGAGGCGACACCCAGTTGGTCAGCAGTATGCTGGAAATATTTGGGCTAACGCTGAAAAATTCGAAGGGTTCACACAGAAAAACCAGGCATTTTGGGTTGGCTTCTCTCAACAACGCCCGCTGACCCTGGGCCTGCACTCCGGACAGGCTCCGTGGCTGCAGGGAGCCTGCTGACCCTCTGCTCAGGCCACGCCGGGGCCTGCCTTGGAAGCCGTGCTCAGCGACCATTAGAACTGAGCACACTCCCACTCCGCTGTCTCCCCACTTCCCTCGCTGAAGGACCCCAGGTCTGCCAACCACAGACTCCGGGCGCTTCCCGAGTCAGGCACAGCCCCCCGAACGCTCCGCAGCAGAGGTACTGCCTGCGAGCAGGCGGCCGATTCATCACACCTCGCCACGCCTCCTGGTGGCGCTGGCCAGGCACCCATTCCCTCAAGCAGAGCCGAATTAAAGAAGCACCCGGGTCGCCTCACACCCCAGCAAGGCCGTCTTAGCCATGACACCAGTGAGAGCAAAGAGCTGACCCGCTTTGCAGAATCCACACTCCCACCCCCGGGGCCAAGGCAAGGGCTTCACAGAGCGAAACTCTCTGGTAAGACATCCACAAGCCCCGGGCCAACGACAAGCTAGACCCAAGCAGAACCGTCCAGAGAAGGCACTCGCCCCTCCCGCCCTCCTACCCCAACGCCACGCACACTCACTCACCACCTTCGTGTCCTACTGGCTTTCCATTCAGCTGTGCCCATGACTTTGGTCCACCTGGCACTGAATTTGTATTCTGAAAAAAGCAAGAGGGTTAGAAGAGGGCCAGCCCGAGGGTCTGCCGCCCACTCCCGGGGTGAGTCAGGACGAGGCGGGCCTGCGGGGCGCACCCTCGCTCCAGCCACTGCGCCCACCTCTGCGATCGCACGCTGAGCCGCACCCCACCATGGGGGAGACTCCGTGCAGCGCCCCACCTGGCACAGTGGTCAGGTGTCAGAACGGAGGAGCAGCAGAATGGAGGGGAAGTGACCAGCTCAGAGCCGCACGGCTGTACGTATGGCAGTCAGGACTCAAACCCACATCCACCTTCACACTGAGATCCGGAACATTCTGTCAGGTGGCCTCTCCTGTCCACTCAGAGCTACTCTGTCTAGCTACACGGAGCGAACTCCCATTCTAGCACTTGTCCCAAAAACCGCACCGCTGCTGCTGGAGGAGCAGAATCGCAGGCAAAGCCAACGCGCCCGAGATGTCGTGGATGGGCCGCTGTCCCCCCTCCATAACGTGAGCTGTCGCTGGACGGGCCGCTGTCCCCCTTCCATAATTACTGTCACTCTATTAACGTGATCTGTCGCTGGATGGGCCGCTGTCCCCCTTCCATACCGTGATCTGTCACTGGATGGGCCACTGTCCCCCTTCCATAATGTGATCTGTCACTGGATGGGCCACTGTCCCCCTTCCATAATTACTGTCACTCTACGAGGTCCAGGCCCTAGCGAGAGGCCTTCCTCCTCCTCCCACCTGGACTCACCTGGCTCGGGCTCAGTCCCACCAGCTAACCTCTGCCCAAAGCTCTCGAGGGCTAAGCATGACACCAGGCACACCTTGCCCAACCAAACCCTCCCACACCCCGGGAAGGTTCTGGTCACACGCCGACATCGTTCAGAAGGAGCAACTTGACTTGGACACCGAGCTAGGGAGGCAGGACCAGGACGTGTCCCCACCCTGTCGGGTCCTCGACCATTAAGTCATCTGCCTTTCGATGACATTCGACGCAGTAGCCTCCCCCTCCCCACTGAGAACGTGGGAACGGAGCTGGTGCAGCCGTTTCGTCACCTGCTGGGTTAGATGCCTGACGAAATGATTACCTTTCCCCGGGTACCCCTCCTCTCCAGTCCGCCCCCTGCCACCACACGCACACACAAGGTGGCCACCGTCCCTCGTCTTCAGTCTACTCGGGGGTTGCTCGTCGGGGGTGGCCCTGAAGACCTGACAGGTGGCCGGCAACGCCCACGGGTCTCCGCCAAAAGACCACCTCTCAGGGGGCGGGCAGCTGGGGTTGGACAGTCCCTCAGGGAGGGGCACACCCCCAGACCCAGCAGGAACCAGAGGGGCCCCAGGGCCAAGCTGTAGCCTCCCACCTGCTGTCTGTGGCCACGGGCGTGACACCTCTGCCCTCGCCCATCAAAGGCACTAAACTGGAAGCGAATGCCCACAGGGCGAAGCAGCGGTAACTGGTTTTGCGGCAAACTCCGCCCCAAGAGTAGGACTGCTGTAAGCCTCAGGGGGAGGCTTCAGAAACTGAAGGGGCTGGGGTCTCCTCCTACCACCTCTGCCGGCGAGAGAAAACCAGATACCAGCTGAGAAGAGCTGGGCTACTCCAGGACGGGGCTCCTACAAGTTTCCCTCAGCAGCTCCGACGGATGCCCGCCCGGGCCCAGGCCCTCCGGTTGGGGGGGCCAGGCACACAGACCTCAACGAGCTCCCCAGGCAAGTCTGCCGTACGGCCAGGACCAAAACCTGCGGCTCTACAATCGCAGATTCGAATTCAGAGAAACATACAAACTCAACCCTACACACTCTGACTGGACAACAGACCCGCGTGGATTCAGGCCAATGAATATGGAGTCTCACGTGAACAGGATTTTTAAAATTTTTCTTTAATTCCGAAAGCACAGGTCAGTGTTGGGTAGGGGAGGAATATCCTGCCAGCAAATCTATGAATTTCCCCCGCAGATGGGGGAGTGACGTCTCATATTGCCTCCTGCCCAGGCCCCAAAACAAAAGTAAAACACGTCAGTTCAAGTTCTCTTCAAGAGAGCTGGGAAGTGCTAAGTACCTGAGTCTAGATTTTTTTTGATCTTCTATAAGATTCGACTTCTCACCTAGGTTTACTGCTTCCAGCTAATATGACCTCCTGATGATCTCTGTAACCCACAGACAGACGTGAGGGACTGAGTATAAAATGAGCTCTTGCTTAGTTAAATCGTGACTTTCTGTGTTGAAAAACATTTTAAATGCATCAACAAATAAAGGGTGATAGCTGGATGTTTCCCACAGTGTGTTCTGAGCCACTACTGGTCCCTGGAGACATTGTTAAGAAAGGTTTCCCGGGACAGATCAACGTGGGGCCCACTGTCCTTCCTGTCCTCTTCTTAGACTTTCATAGCACACGTCAGCACGTTACGATGCCGAGAAGTTTAACGGTAAAGGAGCCTGCTTGACTTTTTTCTTTTTTTTTTTTTGATTACTCTCTGGGGTCTCTCTGCAGAAGCCGCAGATTAAATGACCACGTCAGTGACCACGACGACTTCCTGTGCTCGTTTTCTAAAGTCACTCATCGGTCTGCCTCGGGTGCAGGCAAATCATGCAAAGCCACCCTCTACGGTGACAAGTCTGAAAACGCTTACCCACCCCCAACGACAGGGGCATCCGGGGCCGACCCCTGAGCAGCGGCCAGGACGGGGTCCCCAGCACCTACCTCCTGACTGATTGACGGCGTCGGCTTCTGTAAATTGGAGACAGATTTCTGCAAACCCGGCTGCGGCAGCGACTCCGGCGGCTGAGAGGCCGTCGCACTGGAACTGGACAAACACAGCGCACGGGTGAGGGTCAGAGACAGTCAGAGACGGACGGGCCGTGCTGACGAGGTCCCTCGGCATTTTCAAGAGCCACCGCTGCAGCGAGACCTCCCCTGGCCCACAGGTACAGTGCTCCCCAGCGGACGCTTACGCTGGCGAAGGCGAATGACAAACGGAACGATGCCTGAGGTCTACGGGGCAGAACATCCTGCCTTCTCGTCGAGCCTCCTGTCTGCAAAAGCTGAAAGCTCTTTGTGAACAATGAGTGATGGCGGACTTGCCAGTGGAGAAACTGAGTCACTGCAGGAAACGGGCGCTGGGCCCTCCTCCCGACCAAGGACTCACAGCTCCAGCGGACCGACTGCTCTGACGTGCGAGCAGATGTTTCTGATTTTTTTTTTTTTACCTTCCCTTGGCTTGTAAGAGAAATATATGTTCACAGTAAAAATAAGTTTGTAAATATATATAACAGAATTCGTCACGATCTCATCCTCCAGAGAGAAACTCAGCAGATTTTTCTCTACATAATATAGTATTTTTTAACATAAGTGGGATAACACCATGCAGACGATTCCAAAACTCATTTTTTACCTAACGTACCTAACATCTTTTCGTGACAACACATACGGACCTCTTTCTTTTAATGAGACGGTACGATTGGATAGGCCACAATTTACCCATCTCCAAGTTTTTTCTATTACAGATAAAACTGCAATGAACGTTTTTGTATACGTATCTTTGCACACTTTTGTGTAATTCAGTAGTGTACGTTCTTAGAAATGGAACTGTTGGGTAAAAATATGTTCTGAAGTTTGAAAGACGCGGCCAAACTGCCCTCTAAATAAGGCCGTGTCGTCTGTTTACAGGCCACAGGCCATCTTTCAAGAGTAACGAGAAAGATCCTCAAGGAAGACTTCTGCTGACTGGGCAGCCTTCCTGTCACTCTTGCCAGCCAACCTTCTGATTCGAGGAGGGCAGCCGCCCACTGGGACAGACTGTCCGCGGCCAGTGGCTCATCTGTGAGCTGAAGCCAAAGCCGACCCTACCTGTACGCACTCTTCCAAGGTCTACTTAACCCAAGTAACTCATCGCCAGTCACGATGCTACAAAAGGAAGGTCGCTGACCCCTCTCACGTCACCTACCCAAAACAGGAGCTTCTGCACAGTCCCGTGTTCTCTACGCAATCAGCACCCCCGCCTCCGCCACTTCTTCGATACCCCAAGCGGGGTGGCCGGGGGCAGCAGAGATCCAGGGCCGGAGTCTGCTGCCCGCTCCAGCGCTCACTCCTGACCTCGCCCTGGCAGACGAGCAGCGCCGTGCAGCAGTGAACGCTGCCTGACACTGTCCCAGCGCTGGTGCGGACGGACACGGGGAGGGAGCAGCACTGTGTCCTCACTCTAGAGCGTCCAGCAGCACAGGCATGTCACCGCCACACTGACGTGTATGACATCCACCTCGTCACAGCCAGTGCCGCCGTGACCAGAACGGTGACAGCAACAGCTGGTCTCTGCCACACACTCCCGCCACCTGGCTTGTGGTGTCTCACCTCTCTCCTGTGCCCAGCCCTGGAGCCAGGTACCGTTCTCACTTCACAGGACCCTGACGCTCCGAAGCCAGACGATTCTCCAGGTTCCGTAAAGCTACTAAAAGAATGGCCTGGCTGGACCCCACACACACGTCTGCCCATCCTAAGAGTCACGCCATACCATCGGCCAGTATGAGGCCTAAGCAATCTGTCAGGAAAAAAATTAAGTGGCTCTGCGGACCCTGTGTCCGTTACTACTACCTTACGGTCCTGACTGAGCTGTCTGCTCCCTCTCTGCGCCCTGCCTGCAGTAACCGCAGGGAAGTTTTGCACGAGACCCCGCGGACACTTCGTGAGAGAGGAGGACAGTGGCTGGCGGATACGTTCTGGATCTGTGTCATCAGCCAGACCAGGCGAGACGCAGAGCAGGAAGGCGCCCGAGACGGGGCCATGTAGCTTTCGTTCCCGAATAAGCAAACTCCAGCAGGATCCCACGCGCCAGCCTTCGCAAGGGCCTGGCCCTCCTCGGCACTCCCAGCACAAACCCCAAATCCTCTTTCCTGGGCAGCCTCGTCACTGGCCGGAACCCAGGCAGAGGACTCGCAGTGGAGGGAGGAAGATGGAGGCTCTGGCGTCTGGGAACGGCCTCAGCGGAGCCCCGGGCAGAGGTGGAACGGGCCGGGCCTCGTGCTGCCAGCCCCAGCACACTGCGGCCTGAAGCTGCTGCTTCTGTACAAGCTCTGAGCCAGACCCTGGGCTTCCGAAGGCCGCTTCAGGTGCCGTGCGGGCAGCAGGGAGAGCGTTCAGGGGCTGTGCTGACCCTGGGTGACGAGGATGCTTGGCCGCTCTCCCTCGTGACTGGGTCCACCTGGGGCACCTGGGGCACCTGGGGCTGGACTCTGTATGGGAAGCTGCTGGCCCCACAGCCGGGAGGCCACCTGCTCGAGCTGAGCCCAGCACACAGGACTCCACCAGAGCACCAGCCCTGTCCACAGTGGCTCTTAAGGAATTGGCTCTGAGTGACTCCTCTGGGGTGAGGAGGCCTTTCCTAGGGACGCTGGTACCTGGCACAGGTAGCCCTGCATCAGCTCCAAGAGCCAGGAAAAATGAAGGCACGAGCGAGAAACAACTGGGCAGCATGAGTCGGGGTCAAAGGGGCTTCCTTCGGCATCTCCCCGTCCTCCAGCTCTGCGGCTGGGAGGCCCACAGCGCCCTCCGCAGACCGGAAGGGAGCCAAGCGACATGAAGAGCCCCGGCCCGCGCCCCCTACCTGCGCCCCCGGCCCCCGCTCACACCTCTTTGGGTCTTGCTGGTCCTGCTTGTTTGCCCATCCCGTCCCGTCCTTGGGTACTATAACGATGTTGGGGTCGTTTCCTTTGTTTTCAGACTTCAAGCTTGGCAGGTTTGCAGGCGGTGGCATGCGCCGGGCTGTGGCAACTTTCCCGAGACTCTGTAAGCCATGTCTAGGAATAACTGCAGGAAGAGAGGGGTGGAAACAGACGGCACGCGGGAAAGTTACAGAAGGAAAGAGGCCAGGGCCATGCAGCTGCATTTTCAAACTGACTGAGGGCGACAAAGGCAACAGAGCGCGAAAACCGGGGCAGCCCCCTCTGCGGAAACAAGCGAGCAGTGTTTGGGAGTCACTTCAGTCCCTTTCCGAGCCCTTCGCCAAGGCCTGCAGGGACGCAGGAGCTGCCGGGTCCCTGCAGAGGCTCCCCTTCTGCTACGGGGCAGGGGAAGGCTGAGGGAGTTTATGGCATGGGTGAGGAGCCAGGCCCGGGCACCTCCGTCCCACACGGTCACTATTTCTCTGGAGACTGAGATGCTCTGGCCACATTACAGCAGGACTGAAGGACACCTCTGCCCGGGCCCAGGTCAGGCCTGAGCGGGGC